TCTTTGCTATTTCATTATTTATTATTTTATGAAACTTTATTTCAATAAAAACTGCAGTTATCAAATCAAATATGTGTAATTTATAACATTTATAGAACTTTTTTTTTTATTTTCATAATTTACAATTTTTCTTTTACACCATTATACAATTTACCAATATACTTCAAAAATAAATTAAATCATCAATTAACTGCCGTGATGGCACGTAGATGGATCACCTGTCTCAGGCAGATGTTAACTTTTATAAATTTGTACATAAGATACATGCATTTTTTTTATATAGACAAAAATATTAGGATTTTTTTATAAACATATTACTGAAGTAATAATTTTTAAATTTTGAATCGATACTGAATTTCATTGTAATTATTTTTTTTTGAGGCTAAATATAATCTATATTTAATAAATATGGATATTATTGATTATAGTATTTATTTACAATAAAGAAGATCGGAAAGTTTCTTCAATATTATTTATATAAATTCCTTACTAAATTTCTTTAGATAAACTAATTGACGTGCACGCTATATAAAAATTTCAATAAAGAATGCAAAGTATGTAAAATATTTTATAAATATTTATAAGCAAAAACAAAATTTAGATACATAATTTAGTAGTTGCAGGAAATGAAGCCAACATTAGATGTGCTACATGACTGGGTCATGGGGCTTGTGGGGAGTAGCAAATGGTCGAATTGCATGTGCATTACAATGTATTGCCAGCAAATCACGTCCGTCTAATCGCACTATATACAATGTGGCAAATCTTCGCGCGATTACGAAAAACTAAAGTAAACATATACATCACGACCAGCAAATAGAGGCGAAAATTTATAAACTCCATTAATTGCGACACGCTAAAACAATGCATGTTAATGTTGTAACGGAAATCCAATATTAAACTTCAAAGTGCATTCGCCGTATCGTGAAATTATATAATTCCATATAGTAGAAAACCCAATTACAGTTATCACATGAAAATTCATTCTTCTATTAATTTGAAACAGCGTGCGTGGGATTAATTGTAACTCACTTAGGGCAGGTTTAAAGTGCTCCGATTCTTTCTTTAGTTATTTCAGTAATGCAATTCCACTTTGCGAAACAAAATTGATCATGGCATTCGCAGCAGCAGTGGTCACAGATAATATTAGAGACCAACATTTGGGACTGCTCTCCGAGGATTTTCATTATCCTGCATTAAAATCTACTTAAATGTGAAAGTTCGCAGACTTTAATTATTTCAATTTTTCAATTCATTTAAAACATATCCAATCAATGTTGATTGTATTGCAAATAAAATAAAAACAATAGAAATGCTTTAATTATAAAAGTAATTCAAATGTAAATTAATTACATTTCAATAACTTTTATTCTCGAATAAAATTAATTGAAAGGAAAAATAATTATAAATTTAATTTGATCACTACATGCATAATTAAAATAAAGTACTTAAATGCAATTTATAGTGTACAAATAAATTGCATACAATTTTATAATTTCGTCGTATAATTACAAGGAAAACTAACATTAATTATTAATTAAGTAAAACATAATTCAATTATTTTAATCCCAACACAAGATAATCAATATTTAAATAAATTTCAAATTTATTTAATTATAATTTATTTAATTTCAAATGCTTTAGATGTTTCAAATCAAATTAACTGATATTATTTGTTATTGATTAAAATGCTTCGAAATTGAAACTCCATTGAAAAACGAGGGGAAGAAATCTAGATTGTAATGTGGATACTGTGCGAGTAATGCATATGACATTTCATATATTCGGATATTCCACGCGAACAAAAACATTTAGCTAAATTTTCTGCTAGTGTCATGTGACATGAACATCATGATGAATAATGAAAACCCAACATGGCTTCAAATAAAATAAACACTTTGTATTTCTTTTTCTAATTTAAAACAAAAGGAAGATAATTTCTATACATGCATACTTTTAACAATTGCATCAGTTTATCTTTTGTTATTCTTAAAGTGTTGTATAATAATATACATAGCCTATATGATGTGTTTTTGAATATGTTTCACTATACGAGTAAAGATCCGGAAATTTTGGAACGGATTAAACTCGTTATGCGAGGTTCCACTGTATATATATACAATTTAAAAACTTATTAAATCAACAAATTATGTAAGAGACAAATATTTAACTTTTATAAAATGTTCAAGTATCCTATTGTTTTATATAAAATATTATAATTCCATCATATTTACTTGCGCGCTAAACATCTATGAAGATTCTCTGGAACAGAGAATTCGAGACAAAGTAAAATTTGTTTACTTTTCGTTTAATGCATCCTAATTATATTATGGTTGTATAATATAAAGCATTACCATTAGCTTATTCATACAAGAGACGGAGCGTAATTCTCTGAAATTTATTTTTCTTAAATAAGATTTATCATATCATAATACTTTTTTTTTATATTTATCTATTATCTTACGAGTTTACATGTTATAAATATTATTCTTTGTATTAAAATTGAAATAAATTTTAGTTATTATTATATAATAATATAAAACATTATAGATAATTATTATAGGACAAATAATTACTAAATAAGGCGGAAAGACTAATTAATTTATTACTAATATCAGTCTTTTTTAAATATTATTCTGTTAATAAATTGAAATACATTATCCAATAATAAATAAATAAAATCAACAGTTTCCTTACTACAACCCACAAACGTCTGGAAGAAATTCGATATCCCAACATTTTATTTTATGTTTGTATCACTTTCCTTCATTGTTAAAATATTTATAAAAAAGGTCTCTTCCAGTCTATACCTTTTTGTGTGACTCTCAATATACCCATAGAATAACATAATACATTGGCATTTTAGATAGCAATAGTATATGAATTTAAAAATATGTGCAAAATGAATAAAATATTATAGATTACTGTTCTGACGCAATTAATACAATAATTATAAAAAAAAGTAAGGAAATTAAATTAAATCTTGTCCTTTTTACAGTTTAAGTATATTTACTTAATGCATATGACAAAATATAATAATACTCGCAATCCTCAGGAAAATACCTTTTTTATTTAAGGATACATATTTCAGTTCTAAGGATTATAAATTACGTACAAAAACTGATGCGGAGCAACAATAACTTTTGTATATATAATAAAAAAAATACGGTTAAATGGTCGAATTAATCTTGGGTTTATCACGACAATAAACATATAAGCTTAGTATTCGCATACAAAAAAAAATATATGCATATTTTAAAAAAATATAAAATTTCGTAACGAAATTGGGTAATTAACGCTTAGAAAATAAAAATAATCAATCCGATTTCAGTATTTTAATTAGTGATCACAGACAACTAATTTATGGAAAAAATATATACACATGAATGAAGACAGAGTCAGTTAAAAAAATTAAGTAATTAATGCTTTCTTGTAAAACTGCTTCAGATTAGTGGAAACAAAAAACTGTTCGAATTCAATAAGGTTTAATTAGCGTTCAGAGACAACATATTTACTCCTGCCAGACACCTAATCTAGAAATACTCGAACTGAAAACCGTGGGCCTTTATTACGTTTTCCTCGCCATTCAAACCGCCGACAGATACACACACACAATTAGCCATCCGAAATGGTTGCGTAATATATTGATCTTCTGTAATCCCTGTTTCTGTATAAAATAGTAATGAATCTATCCGTATAGTATTGACAATGGATAAAGTACAATGACGCATTTCGTGGGATTTAAATTTCCACGTCTGTGCATTTTCCATGGCCCTTTTTGTGTTGTCTAAATCGCTAAAAGTACGTGTAGTTGTCAGGGGATTCATTAAATTAAACATTTGCTTTGCCTGTTATTTACAAGTATCGAAGAGAAGATAAGAGCGGATTTAATTCCTGTCGTAATTAAAAGTTGGATAAACGTGGTTCGGATATTTACTCTGAGATCTAATGAACGGCATGGCATCATGTGCAATGTCCTTGGGCAAGCAAACATACACTGTCCACATATTCAATAAACACCCTATATACATGAGCAATTAAACACCTATTTTTAGTAAGAACTCCCTCAAGTCGCAATAATAATAAAAAATAAAATTTACCGTCGATTTTATTTTTAGAAAAAGGTGGAATACGGGTACTTCGTAAAAATCAATAAATATCGAGGAATAAATCTGAAATATTAATTCAGCATTGAATCTACTCTCGTCTATATTCCTTCCATCAAATGCTTTTTTATATTATTTCGACAACGTTTCAGTGAGAAAAACTTTATGAAATTTAATTAAAATGGTAATACGGTTTATGCAAATTACCATTATATTTAGCGCAATAATTATAATGACATAATATAACAATTTGATATTGATTCAACACTATTATGAACATTATTATTATATTATTAACAAACAAAGTATCAATTTTTTTAGAATAATCAAGTTATTACAATGTATCGCTGAGGTATAAATTCTTATGAGGCAGATTTATAAGCTAGTTAATAATATCGCATGTTCGTTTGTAGCATTCATAAAACAGTGCAGCAGTAACTTTCTAAATATTAACTGTAAATATGTATGTCCTGCTACAGATGTTACATAAAAAATATGTAAGAAACAAAAAATGTGTATGGAAAATTGCAAAAAGATAAGATGTTTTTTGAAAGTCAATAGTAGAATGTAATTTATGCTGAAATTCACAAGAAGACTTGTTTCTGAGAAAATATTGCGAAAAGGCTTTAGTTTGGCAGATAAATCGATCTTCGGGGATACATCAGAAAATCCTGCAAGCAATTTATATGCGGGTATAAAACACACACACACATATAAACATGCATGCACGCATAGACATTGTGAAGTAAAAGTTTGTCCGAAGTTGTACGTGAAAATTAGAAAGGGGAGCGGGAACTTCAAAAATTTGCATGGGTTTGAAACGTCACGATTTATGACGATTATTAAGGAAGTGGTATAAATCATTGCTATAAAAGTGGAACTAGCGATAAAATCTTACCTGAATAGCAGGAATCCCAATGATGTCACGGCGGCGCGACGCACATCGTCGTTGACATCGGAGACCTGGAATACAATAAATACACGAAAGGTCAGTTATCGAACATAAAAATGTATTTAATGGCAAATTCATATTTACGTGCTGACGCCATGCATGTCATTACACATTGGGGTGAACGTACACACAATGAATATTTTATTGTTACATTTTATTTACTTTTTTTTATTTGCGAAAAGGCTATTTACAGAGACGCTGCTGTATTACATAATATTTACGTGCCATTTTTCTAAATAAAGAATACACATTTCATGTTTCAACATTATATTTTTAATATTTATTACCAGAAAATACATTTATTAGGCGGAAGTACTTTATATTCTTCCAACTAATCTGTCAACATGTTTCAAAGCAAACCTTAAATATTATAAAAACAAATAGTCATTTAAGTTTATATGTATACGTATCAGAAAATACGGAACATAAAACAATAATATTGTAAGTTTTTGGTGCTAGGTACGAATATGATGAAAGGAGTCCTTCATATCGCACACAGTATAGCAAGGTGATTCTAATCAATAGTTAAAACTTAATAAAATACGTTAATATAAACGTTGGATTGAAGTTGTTATACCATTAAAAATGATTTCAAATAAATCTAAGATGTAAAAACTATAATATGTATGCAATCAATAGACTGTTCTATATGTATTTATTTATATAGTCTCAAAATATTAGTTATATTCTTAAAAATCTATAATGATAGATAATTGTATAAATTATTGTTTTAAGTTATAATATTTTGTATTACTTTTGTTTCATTATTTTTGTCTGTAATTATTTGGGTTATTTTAAAATTATTACAATAAATATTGTTGTTATTATCTAAATGTTTAAAAGGCAAATTGCAATTATGAAATCTATAAATAAAAATGTATTGTATGATATAATCATTTTGATGAAAGTTTTCCGTGGCAACAAAATATTTACACCGACGTCTTAAATCTAATCAATAAAACATATTTCGACCCCCACGTAAATGAGTATCATATGTTACTACAAACCTAATACAGTACACTTTCTGCAAATTATACCCATCGCCAGTACCTCGAAATGTGTAGTTAATGGCATTATCAAATTATATACACGTACAAGAAATTACGTGATTAAATTTACGACAGCCCATATATATTATCCAATTCTACTTGAGATCATATAAAATAATTCGTTTCATGGTCATCATCTTGCAATATCGTAAATAGAAATTTCAATGGAGAAACAGAGGTAAGAAAAAAAATCTCATAAAAGTAACTTACAGCAATGTGAAGGAGGCGACGTATAGCCAAATTATTGCCGGTTCCACAATACGCCATGGCCACTGTGTACATCGCAGAGCGTCGTAAAATTGGATCTTTGTCCAAAACCAAACGACTTATCAAATCGTCCGCTTCTTCTAAACGGCCGAACATTGTTAATGCGATCCCCACAGCCAAACCCCGCAAGATTTTTTCGTGTTGACTTTCATGACAGTACTTGAATGTATAGAATATTTTTTATTAGAAATACTGTAGTTGGTGGATCTTTTTGAAACTTACTGCGACCATATCTTCAATGGCTTCTCCATGTTTTGATCCTAGCATTATCAAACCCATAGCTATACCGGCCGCTTCTCCGACAACCGCATCATCCTGATACAAATTGAATTTAATTTGTTCATAAATATCTTCATTTCGAGTCCCCATTGCAGCTAATCCAATTCCCAAACATCCTCCATGCTTTATTATCTAAAACAATAAATAAATCAAATAACTATAACGACATATTTTATTATTCAGCTAATAACTTCTAAAATCATGATTACTTAATATTTCTTACTTCATTCGGAGCGTCCTTTAGTTGTTGTAATAAGTATGGTGTAATTTTAGAGCCATGATTAGCATGTATCAATCCAAGCGCATATAAAGCTCCGCTTTCCGTGTATCCTGCAGTAGGACCTGACTCTTTAGGTAAATAAGTTTGCATGAAATTCAAAGCGTCCTTTTCGTGGCCCCTGTGAATAACTCCAAGTGAAGCGACAGCTGTCATTTTTGACCAATTTGAGGCGCGCGATAACCATTCTAAATTGTCCCTATAAATTATTAATGCTTACATATGAAAGAATAAGACCATATTATCCAAATACCTCAAGAAGCAATCACTCGTAGTACCGGAATGCATGAATGCATTAGCAATCACCACGGCCGTATGACAAATACTGGGCCTGGCTGAGTCCTTGGTGTGTTTCAATATTAGATAATCAGTTTTATTGGCACGGATCAGAAATTGTAGATGTAAAAGTATGGAAATCTCCCCGGATAGTATTGTCTTTAGTTTGTCTATGTTCGCATCATATTCCCGAACATCCTGAAAACATAATTACTATGGTAAAAGGTCAAAAGGCAAATCAATTTTAAAGTACGATTGTATTCGAATCGAATCCCGTGTTTGATGAGGTCCCAACGTTATTCGCAATTGGGGATTCTTTCGCGTGATGCAAATGATCCATGACCAAACCTAGAAACTCCTGCGTTGCAGATTCATACAAATCGAAAGCGATTTGGTACGCGGTTAGTTCATCTTCCATTTCACCAGCAGCCAGGCGACTCAAAATTCGTGCGACACTATTTGCATCGTCCAGAAATATGAGGCATTGACAAACATTAATGTAATCCGGCGTAGCTAAGCTTCCGTACAGATCGACTAGTTTACGCAATAGCGTGTTTCTAAAGGATCTGTTTTGTATTAAATTCATAGAAACCTGTAACATAAAGCTATTATGTCTGTTAAATCACATAAACGATATACGCTTACATCGTATGCATATTTTAACATTTTGTATATGTCCCCGGATCTAATTATTGCAGCTTGAAATATATCTAATCGCCTAGCCTCTAAAGCAATGCCCAGGGCATGCTGGAATTGATTTTCCGCTAAGCATCTCTGGAACATTTTGTTGACAACGGATTCTAATGTTGCATCAATCTTAGTATCCAGTTTCTTCTCGTCGATTAAAGCTTGTCTTAATTTAATGTATTGATCGATGCATTTTGCTAAACATAAATAAATAATTACATGTACTTCAATATCAATATTTTTTCTTACATATCATTGTTTCGACGTATTGGCTATTTGAATACACATCAAATAAAGTTCCTGCTCCCAGAGCATATGAAAGAGAATCATCGTAAAATCCCAAGTGGTAATAGACTTTACTAGCCACTAAAGCGGCCAGTTCGCGCTGTTTGAAAACAGGATCTTCTTGCAAAACTTCACTGTGATAAAAATATTTCATATAAAATTCGATTTTTCAAATGTATTATTATACAAGTTTGGATTAAATAGATCAAATAAAAAAATATACTTACATTTTCTCTATGGATTCGGATATTTCTGGCCAGAATTCGTCAACAATACTGTCTAATCTTCTTAAAGCAAAAGTTTTTATATCATGACGGGGTTCATCGAGAAGGGATAATATCCCAGCTGCAATTTAAAATATTTTTTTATTCATCGTATGTATTAATAATATTAAATAATCTGTTATGTAATGCATATCTGATTTATTAAGTATGTACCTGTTTGTATCGCCCTGTATATATTAAATTTAGCTTAGGTATCGTATGCAACCAAGTATACACATCAAACTTATAAAATACTATATTTACTAAAGAAAAATATTGTTTACAACATACAGGGTGGATTATATACAATAATTATATAATTAAATTATATAAGGTCTAATTTCTAAATACTACTTCATATTATGTAATAACTAAAATTATTTTTTTAAACCGAAAATTTTAGTTTAGTTCATTTAATAATTTTTATTATTCCCGAGATTAATATATATTATAGTTCAACATCTTTTGAAAACTTATATAAACTACATCATTATTAATCAGTAGTCCTTTATGTAAGTATTTTTATCAAATTGTTACAATAAATTTTACTTTACTTCTATTTCTTCTACAATAACATTATAAGTAATAAAAATGATTTATCATTTCAAAATGCAAACATAGACAATATACATAATCTTAATACAATACTCATAATAATATGTAATGATTAATGATATTTTTTTCTAGTATATGCTACTATAGATTTTTATCAAGTATGTTATAATAATTATGAAACAAAACGTATACGTTTCCAAGTCCAGATGATACAGCATTGTTTAATAAAACCACAAATAATATATAGGATGTATAGAATCGCATATAATACATACGAATACGAAATATTTACATATATTTTCATAACTATTAGTTTTAACAGGCCAGACTTGTGTTATGCTAATAGAGAACTTCATAAATGTATATCGATTTGACGATATAAACTTTAGCATCATCGTGCTTTTGTACAAGAGATCTTAACCAGAAATGTGGTGACTTGCGAAACGCGCGACTACGCGGAATAAATCAAATTATATTTACATCTTAAAAAGGAAGGATGTTTCATTACCTGCTGATGTGACATTCATCCTGGATTCTCCGTTGCACTTTATTAACTCTGCACGAATTTGTTCCGCCGATTTACCGACTTTACTAAAGAACAAGTCACTAACGCTTATGCCAGTGACACCAAAGCTTACGTGATTTGCACTTAAATATTTTTTTAAATTATTAAAATTAAATGAAATATACACTTTATATAATTAAAAGCATATATTGAGTTCTATAATTGCATAAAGTATTGAAGTTATATATTTTCATTATTTAAATTAATTTTAAATGTCTTTATAATCTAATGACTATTTTAAGTTGGCTACACTTCTACAAACCTGCACTATCATTTGACATAACATTTTAAATTATTTGCAAGATCCTAGTATAGTTGGTTGCATATAGTGAAATGTAATAAAATAGGAAAAATAAATTTAATTGTGGATATCCAATTACCAAGTTTTGGATACAGGCTAAGTACACCACAGGAGGCAAAAGTCTCAAAAGATTTACGAAGTTACATAACTCACTCATTAAACAGACTTTAATATTATATATTTATAAAACAAGTAAATAATAAATTAAAATGATTAATTTGATATTAAGATATCGAAAATACAATACATTCAGAGTTGTAAATGAAATGTTTAAGGAAATAAGGAAATATTGGCGTTTAGTGCATATTTATTAAATTTTATAAATTTAATTATATAATATTGAATACATTTTAAATGGACGAATTTTGCATTATACATATTATAAATGAAATATAGCTGTATACAAAAAATACAAATTGAGATTGCGACATATAATAATAATAGTATAAATAGTAAAAAAAATATCTCAGATGCATATATCTGAGAATATAACATATCACAATATGCGAGTATCATAAGTATATTTTTTTTTATGTAATATATGCATCTACTATAAAGTAGTAGTTCAGCTAATAACTACACAATGTTACATGTAATGGCTTTTCGAATAAAAATACTGGCAGTATACTTAATAGGCTTGCCATAGTAGCTTGGCTTAAATTTAGCACGTTCAGTGAATATAGTTGCAGTTGTTTCAAAAACTAACAAACAATAAAAAAAAATAGTAATTAATTTTTAAAATACAGTTGCAACTAACACTAATAACAAAAAAATGCTTTTGTAGTTTGTTTGTTTTTTTTTGTAAAAATATAAATACAGTCTTAAAATTACATTATATTAAATGTAATGTGTGTTTAACCCAATTTCATCATTTTGCCTTAACAATAAATAATAATTTAAGAACAAGTCATTTCAATTATATATGTACAATAAATAAAGTAACAGTTTTGCTTTGTTTTATTATAAATAATTACTTTATACATAATTATGCAAATCATCTTTGGTTTTAATTGTTTAAGAAAAAGCTTTGATAATGCCCCATATATTTTTGGAAAGACTGAAAAAAAAGAAAGAAAAAGATTTATTCAATTTATTTCCATTTGCTTTTGCTATACTCACAATTATTACATAGATATACGTTTAAATTTTAAAGTTGTCTGCATCCGTCATTCGATACTGTTCAGTGGTTTGATTCACTGAAAATAAACTAAAATTAAAAACGTCGATTAATAGAAATGTGCGACTAGAATAAGCTTACAAAACAACTTTAAAAATAGCAACATTAGATAATACATTTGTCATGCAGTTTAATTAGTTAGAAACATCTAAAACTCACAACAAATATAAGTAATATAATTGCGATAGATAGTTTTTTTTTTATTATTAGTAGTTAATTACAATTTGTTAAAATCGTTTAGAGCTTATTACGTTACATACCTATTCATATATAAATCCGCCTGTTGCACTCAAACCCTTCTCATTTTCAACAAACGCTACAAGAACTAAGGTTGAAAGAAATAAAGTTACATGACACGTCCCAAATTTGGATAATAGTTTTTTTTTCATTTTTATTTGTTATTCGTTTGCTTCATTTTTATTCCTTTTTTAGGTTTGTTACAAATTGCAAAAAAATTTGTTGTGAGTATTAGAGTCGTATTAATAAATAAATATATTATCTACATGGCTTTATACAAAAAAAAATCTTCGGTCCCTGATTAATTATGTAATGACTGTTTGTAACAAAAGAACGTCATATAAATAACAGTCTTATAATAATAGGATTTATACAAATATACAATTTATATATATATAAATTATTCATTACAAATAATGGCTTTTTTTTAATATTGTTAAGTAATAAAAATGGAAGCATTTGGAAATGCTTTTCGCTTTGGCCGTTTCGTGGAAAGCAAGTATAGTATATATGTTGGTATTATTATGTACAAAAAAATATATGTATATTACAAATAGTAAAATAATACAATATAATTAATTTAGATGCTCCAAGTATATAAGAGATATAATTTGTTTTGTTTTTTTTTTGTTTGTTTTGTAAAGAAGAACGACAATGTTTTAAAGCACTTTCAGCAGTAATATGCTGGGAAACCTAATATACATTGAGAATACATACTGCCCATATGTAGAGATACTGCCTTGTTCTCACAATATCTTCCTGTATAACCATCTGGACACCTGGAAATAATAAAAAAANNNNCAAGCGAACAAGAAAATCCCCAAAATAGGGTACCTATTTGGTACAGGAAGGGAATCAAAAATAGGAAGAAACTGGCTATAATTAGATTCGGAATATAGACACGGTCTCTTATTAGATAACGGAGTATCTAAATACCAATATTACAATGCTCGTTATTCAATACCTCTACTTTATCAAAGCAAATTCAATTAACATTATAATAACAATTGTACAGATCAATTAGCAAAAATATTTAAAGAAAAATCAATTTTTTTAGGTATGTTTAGGTGTGTTTTATTTTCTTTAAAACTCTCACTTTGACTAAATTTATAAATATTTGTAATGAGTGTATTCATCTGTTTTCTGTATAAATTATAGGAAACTACTTACGCGCAAGACACTTCTTTCAGTTTGGAGGTGTAAAAGCATGTTCCTCCGTTCTGACAAAAATCTTTCTTGAATTCCTCGCTGCATTCGTCTCCTAAAAGAAAGAATAAAAAACAACGATCAATTTTCATCTGGCATGCAGATCCATGAACACTCTACTGAACAAACAAAAATGAAGGTGGCACTATTACTCGTCGTATTGTTATTCCCTCTTTGACGCTGTTTCATAATAAAATATAATGAATTTGGCAACCCAATGGACGCGATTATTAGTGTGGCCGTTGTCAGCTTGCCAATGGATTGTGTAATAATGGTCTATGGACGGCGCGCGAATATGTCGTTTACTCATCACAAGTACTCGAGATTTGCAAAACCCATTTCAACACATCCATTGAAACTAATTAATTACATTTCTTAAAGTCCCATTTTATCACCGGCTCAATTTTATTTTCAACGTGCGTCTGTTCAAACAACGTCCCATTAGCGAATCGTTACGAAATATATCTAAATATTTGTTTATATAATGCGAAATGCATTTTTTTTTAATGTAAGGAATAAGATACGTCTATCTTATTTGTACTTAATGAAATTCAATTGAATTATGTAATTGACGATAACAATATTTCTATTTATACGACATAGTTGCCACACTTAAAAACACTCTATTTTTTTTCTCCTCGAATACTCTTGATTAATATATGCTATTTTCATTTTCGTGGCACATTAAGAGATGAATTAGTTAAATGTAAACTTAACAGTGGGGAAATAGTTTTAAATTTGTTTAATAAACCGTTAATAATTGTTACAATTCTTTTTACCGTATGTTTCGCAATAATCCATACTAATAATTTTGTTTTTATATAAAAATATATCAAAAAAATAACTATAATGAACTATGAAATTATTGAGACAACCAACAAACATGACTAAGCAATAATCATGTATCTATTTTCTTTTATAAATTAGTTTTGTTAATGAATAAATTTCCCCACAGCAAGTTGATATAAATGTGCAGAAAGGTACCATGCTTATTACTATTATTAGATATTTGGATATCTTCTTGGGCAGCCATCCATTGTCCCTTAACTCCGGTTGCCACACATTGGTAACGTCCTGAATCTCTCTCCTGTGCATTTCGTATCACTAACGTAGATTTCCTCCTAAAAACAAAATTAATAATATAAGTTTTCACATCATAATATTTTGTACTAAAAAAAAATATAGACAACAAAACATATTATAAACAAAACAAAAATATATCATAATTTACAACTATTGGAAATTATTCACATTTTATTAATTTTACAACAGAATAATTTTCTAATTGAATTGTACCGATTTTTATTAGTTGAAGCATTATGTGTATAGTTCTTCAAGTGCAATTTTGTTGCTTTTACCAGAACTTTGTTTAATTGCCATTTCTACCAAATCGCTACACATTTACATACCATTCACTTACATCCGTGCTACAATTCAAAAGAAATAGAATAGCAATTAACATAAAGAAAAAGTATTAATTTAGTTAAATTTCTTTTATGTTTTATATATTGTAAAATTGATTGTGACAATCGAATACTCACCCTTTATTTGAGTAAATGATGCGAGTGTTGTTGTTATTATATAACAGTGACTCGTTTTTCTTCCATGAGATTACTGGAATTGGGTATCCCCGAACTTTGCAATGTAACCGGAGCTTCGATCTCGGCTGTACGTTCGTTGAAGTTACGTTCAAAATCGGTTTTTTCAATTTCGGTTCTGCAACAAAAAAAAAAAGAAACATTAATAAATAACACATTATAATACACGTTTACACGTACAGCATTTTGGAAACATTTATCGAAACATATATTTAGAACAGATCGTTAAAGATTTCATTGCCAATTGCACGTGATTTTTTGGCATCTGTTGAAAGACATTACTTAGAATTTCTAATAAATATAAATTTTATCGATGGCTTGCTTACAAACAGCCAAGTAGCAAAGAAAAAGTAAACTTCACAGGAGGGGAACGAAAAATGAATATAATTACAACAATTAGATCATTTGAATTCATAAATATTTTTAGCATATATAAATATTTAATGTGATGTATAAATATATCAGCAGTCAGCCAGTTGTCTGGTTCTTTCTGGGAGATTTATAGCTACTTACAATTTTGTTTGTTTTTTTTTGTTGTTGTGTACTTTTCTCTAGATTTTGTCTTTCTCTGAAATGAACTGAATTTTCATGTACAACATTCAAACTAAAAAATTATTGCCGTATTTTAATAGAAAAAGACAATTATTTATTTATTAGATTTTATAAAGTAAAAATTATTTTAAATGTTATTAAAACAAATTGAATTAAAATATTCATAGATATCTACGTTTTATTTCAAATAATTCAAATATAATCCAGAAAAAAAAAATCCTGGCCGACTTTAGTTATACTTTTTGAATGTTAAATTGCAACTGTAGTTAATATTATAGAATTATGATAGATAGTTGCGGTTGCAGTGAATAAAATGTAGCTGGTGACATTTCAACCGTAATCTTCGTCGAGGTATGTGCGGTATGCGATTTATCTAGAATACGACCTACTCTGTTATTTAATTGAAAACGCCTTCGGATCGGTTCTAAATGATGTAGATGCAGACCGTCCGTTGCTTTCGACTCTTCGGCCGAGCTGAAGACGCGCGGTTTTTTGGTGGAAAAGTGATATTCCAAAATAAATGCCGAATTCTTGGAATGTATTTCAGAAGGTGCACGCGTGCTGAATATTAAATTTGAAACAATGCATTGGAATCCGTTAATAGTTCAAGCCAAATATGTAGCAATGCTGCCGAAATATGCATTAAGATGCAGTTAAGCGTGCGAGCAACAGAGACGACCTATGCTGAATTGTATTTTAATTTTGTCGCACTAATATATTCACCTCACCGTAATAGGTATACATCTTATATATATATATATATAGGGTTATATATATAGGTGGTCGTTTTACCATTACAGCAAAAACTACAATGCGGAGAGAGCGTAAAGGAAGCTCGTATGTTTACGCAAAAAGTTTAAATGCTGAAGTCGGTGATCAGTTAAATATACAGTTTTTATATAAAAAATGCGGTACGTATAAAGATGAGGAATTTGCTTGGTGTGTGTATATATATATATATATTTACTGGTTGTATCAATATTTATACACTAAAACTAGTCTAAATCGGGTTGATTTAAAGAGCGGCGCTCCGAAAGAGCCGCGAGACGGGGGCAAGAATTTTAACAATTTCGCTATTTACATATATAGAGTGGAACGGTAAGAGAGCAAAAGCATTTAATAAAAGGGGGTCCACTTTGGGGCTGTGCGGTCTTTTCGTTTTCAAATAAATTTATGTGTACGAATCTGAGCGGAAAGTTGGCTAGACCCGAGCCGCCTCCTTATTTATTCTAGTTATATTCTGCCTTTCGAGAGCAATTCTTTCTCTGTCTCTCCGTCTCCGTGGACTCTTCGTGCTACCTCTGTCCATCTCTGCAGTCCGAGTCTGGAAATCAGCAGATTCTTACCAAATTATCGAACTGTTGGTGTCTTCAAATTCGACCCTATTTAATATTAATTTATCGCATTGTTCGATAGCAACCCGTCAATCTGTTTATGCAGTTGCCTAAAACGAGCAACAAGTTGGATGCACCGCTGCATCAATGCATATTATAATTACATTCCGGAAGATAACAGAGCAGAAGCCTCATACGTAGAATTAACACAATGCCTGATTTGCATTTTTGCTTTTTTAATTAACTAATTATTTTAAATAATTTCCTTCGTTTTATCTACAATTAGAACGTTATTTTAATTACTCCGCCTATAGGATAACAGCCGACTGCATACATAAAAAAATAATGGAAAAATGGTTTACATAATTTAAAAAAAAAATATATCGTGGATCAGATAGTAGTCTTTATTTATATATTAACTACGAAACTTTGTCGATTAAACGTTATTTATATTGAATGAATAAAACGAAATCCCAACATGATGCTTATTAGAAGCGCGGAATTTTATAATGTGTTTACATAACAAACGCATATTTTTCTTTTCATCTCTACGCTTTTCATTTCTTTTTTTTTCGTTTAACCCGTTCTTCTATGCACACTCTCCATAACACTTTATGAATTTACAATAAGTGAATAAGCTAAATTGAGAAATATTAACTTGCTCGTACTAAATAGTCCGCAACGTCTCGGATTTATTAATACCGTGTAATGACTCTAAATCGGTGTTATAGATGATTTGTTTACAGAAGTGGCGTTGTTGTAATGAATTGTAAATTAACGTGAGTAAAAACGTGTTTGTGTAAAGAGAGTTTAAATTTCTTGGCATGTAAATCTAATAAACCGAGAGTTTATGTTCACAGCTGACCATTTGATAATTGGGAATTTTATTTGAGCACTTTTACAATTCGTGGAAACGTCGCAGGAAAAGAGCGCCAGTTCTTCCAATTAAAATGACTAATTCGGTTGTTAATAATGAAAATGGATGCGTGATTATTTTGTCGGATCGCAGATACACGTGATCGATGGAGATTCTCGAAATCATGCAAAAGAGTTAATGGTTCGAATGAAAATGAAATTAAAAATAAATCAAAAGGATAATGTGTTTAGTTGGAAATCGAGCGTTGATCTGCTGAAGCAAAATTGGGATAAGGACTGTTAAATATAGAGCCAAGGATTTTCAGGTGTGTTTTTCATGACGGATGCGATGTCAGACGAAGTGAGTCTTTATTTAAAAACTTTCCGGTTTCTATGTGCCCGATCTAGGATTGCAGCTACGACTCGTACGCTCGTTGGTAGGTAGCTAGTTAGATTTGGCGATGATACACGTAGGTTTCCACGCATTTTGGAATAGTGCCTGGTTGTAGTAAAATGGTAGTGGAAGTAGTAGTAGTAGTATTATGGTTGGTGACTAATGATAGAATGATAATAATAATAAGAAAGAAAAAAACGAGCGGCCTTGGTTGTAGTTTTTGGTGTAGCGCAGAGACGGTTCCGCTTGTGTAAGGTAACAGAACGACGGACAGACGGAGCAGAGCGTTCGCCCCAGGTGTAGACGTTCTCGTGAATCACTTGGAAGAGCGCCATGACGGCCAGACATCGCCACTGCCTCACTATAATAAAGGCGTATTTTCAGTTTCAGCTCTGTTTTTATGCCCGAGATGCACATCATTTCGCTTCCAGATATGCTCTATTTAAGCTCACCTTTTGGATTAATTCATCATTGGCATACGACCATTCCTACTATTACCAAATTCAATCCAATGATGACTTTAAGCTTTCAACATATTACTTGTATTCCTATTACACTTATACTCATTGTTGCATCATTAGAAATATTACTACCAACAGAATTTGCTACCATCAAAAGAACATTCTGACTACGTTAATACTTTCAATGTTGTTATAGCACCCTTATTTAATCATACGTCTAATTATGAAAAATAAATAATAGATAAACATATACCCAATATACTATAAATAGATTATAGGCGTTCATCTTAACTAGCTTTCATCAAGAGAACATTCTGACAGATCTCAAGTGGCATAGATTACCATCCTTTTAAGTGCTATTTACTATGGAAGGACTCCGAACATCAACTACAAACAAACACACAAAATAACCAAAATGCCAGCAATTAAGCCAACAGTATTTTCTTTAGTAAACTATTAAATCTAATGCAATTTTTAAATTATATTGAATGCAATTATATAAAATAGAAATTTAACTTAATTTATTTACATGTATAATTCAAGTACCAGCAAAAACTTCCTATAAAGAGAAGTGTAGTTTGTCAAAATCCATAGACTACATAACATTCATAAAATAAACTATTGAAAATAGATGCGCTTTATTGACTAGGAAGTATTCCTAAAAATAAAGCCCCCTATACTCTAACGGCGAAGACAACTGTTTCAGTTTGAAGTGTGCATACGTTTAAAATTAGAGCCCATCTTAAAAATATTTACTATGCCTAAGGTGAGGGTGTGCGCCCCTAGTTTATGGAATACTGGAATAGAGCAGAGATCTTTACACATAAATATCAGCAAATAGAAAATAACCCCAAAACTACTTACACCACGTTGTTCTTATATTAAAAGATTAACCGATTCTCAATACATTCGAATATGTGGACTAAACACAGTCTACCAATACAAATGACTACTCAGTTATACCCATATTAAAAATAAGCAATTCTTAATCCATAAATGATATAAACTAAATTTATGATACATATGAATGATACATTAAAATATTAAACAATTCTAATTGTGATTGTGTATTTCTATGAAATTATAATGAGATTGCTTCATTATTTATTTATAAATTTGATTAGATAAAAGCAAGAACAAAACGTACATATAATTCAGGTAAATGAAGGAAGCCTATAAAAGTTGAAACGACGTTCTTTCAATATTTGTTCTTGATACAGGTATTGAAAACTGACGTGATCATTTTCGCCAATCATTGGTCACGGTCGGTTAAGATCGTCTGAAGCGCGCAAAAGGCGATGCCGACATTGTGTTATTCCACAAGGTGACTATCATTCAATTCAGTTTCCTTGACAACCAGAAACGAAAACGCTTCTTTCTTTAATTTTAGAATTACCTTTTTTTCCTCCAGACGAGAACGCACGAAAAAAAAAAAGAAGAAAGAAAGAAGAAGAAGAAGAAAAAGTAAAAACAGAGTGTGCTTCATTTATCTTCCACGCGAAGTATGGGGATGCAACCGTTT